ATGTACATTGTACTGTTTGCATTCCAGTCGTTGTGTTTGCTTTTTTATTTTGCCGTGCAAATTTACTCCTCCATTGTCTACAAGTTGACTGGATTGCCGACTGGCTGACTGACTGTAGTGCAGTGCACTGCACTGCATAACTCCAGAAACCCCTTTGTTAATGTTTACGACCTTTAAATGCAATCATTTCGAGCGGAAATTCTCTTTTCATAAGCATTTGTTTTATTTTTGTGAGTGTTTTAGTTCTGGGCACAACAGCTGTCTGGAATTATGGAAGACGACCTGTAAGGAGTTTAAGTTTTTTTAACAAAAGAAATTAAAGATTTAAAGAATTTGATGGTATCATCCCAATCAGTAATTTCTTTTATAAATGTCTATCATTGCGAGAATCAAATCTATGGCTGTTCTGGAGTGCAAGACTGCCCTGGAAAAGGTAAAGTCGTTTGTCAGCTCTGTTGGGTTCCTGGACAATGCAACATATCTGGCAATGAATCTGCCGATGAATTGGCCAGACGTGGATCTGCGTCAGTAGATCTAGAGATTGAGATCTCAGTGAAGCCACCTTTATGCCACTTCTTCAAGTACTTCATAATCACTATCTTGGGAGATTTCAACAGAACTGGCTATCTGGAAGGGGATGTAACATCTCCAAAAAGATTTGGCCAGTGAACTCAGAAAAGAGATCACGGTCACTTACATCCATGACGAAGTTGGACCTGAAGCTGGTGGTGGGTGTAATTAAAGGTCATTGCAACATAAAGGCCATGACTTTAAAATGGGGAGGTGACGACACTGAATACTGCAACCTTTGCCAAGATGAGGAAGAAACAGAAACGGTGGAACACTTACTCTGTCACTGCCCTACCCTGGTCGGAGTAAGACATAGGCTTCTAGGTAAGCAAATTCTGTCCGATTTGTCATGCCTCTCCGAAACCGAGCCAGTAGTTATTCTTCAGTTAGCCAGAAGACTAAAATGGCTAAGGACGACACGTGACTACACCGTGGATGCAAACCCACTAACTCTTTTATTTCCTATCCATTCTACTCTAACCTCCAAACCTTTTCAGTTTAATTTTTTCTAAATTAGGATGATCACAATGGGCCAATACGTCTCCGAGTGGAGTGGTTGTTGTTTTTACACAACCACACATCCTTTAACCTAACCTAAACCCTTAAGGTGGAAATACTAATGCGCTTATCTGGCTGGCTTCTTCGGAAATGAACAAAGGGACCTAGGGCCAAAATCGAATTAAGTCAACTTAAAACTCCTTTGTTCATCTACGAAGAAGCCAGCCAAATATACGCTGTATGCATTTCCATCCTTAATCATAAACCCAAAAGAAAAGTTACAACCTGGATAACACGCTCTCCACTCCCGAGCTTAACAAAAAATCCTACGAAAATCAACATCCACACATACCAGGGACGTTGTAGAATTACAACAGAAAAACAACATAGAAAACAGCAACATCAGCAGAAATTGTTCGAAAAGTAAAGAAGCGACTTGATCGAAACCCGCGTCACAGTGGCCGAAAAATGGCAATATTCCATTCGGCAAATATTGAAAAATGAGCTCGGGGTAAAGCCATTGAAATTCCAAAAAGTGCAGGAACTTACACCGCAACAGAAAATAGATTCAACGGAGCTAAAGAGTTGCTTCGCTTGGCCGAAAGTGGTAAACTGCCGAACTTGGTTTTCTCCGATGAGAAAACCTTCGTTGTCCAGCAGTTTGTAAACAAACAAAATGATCAGCGCCGGCCATGGGGATGATGTGGGCCGCCATAACAGCCGATGGTCGCTCTCCACTCATATTAATCGACCGTGGCTTCAGAATAAATGTCGAATACTATCGCGAAAATATTCTGGGGTGTGTATAAAAGCCTCGGGCACGCAAACATTTTGGCCGCAGACCTTGGACATTTCAACAGGACTTACAAACCATCGCACTCAACAGCCGACACCCAATAATGGTTACAAAATGAGGTTCCTCGCTTCATTTCCAGCGCACAATGGCCACCAAAACCTCCGGATACCAATCCGTTGGACTATTGTGTCTAGAGTATTTTGCAAAGCATTGTTGGCACTAAAAAATAACAAAGTGTCGACCACCTCAAGCAAGCGCTTCGCTGGGAATGGGTCAAAATACCGCAGAGCAACATTAGGGCAGCGTGTGACGGTTTCATTGGCCGTTTTTTGTTACGGAAATTCATCTCGATGTATTTTCTGTTCTGCCTTCTGTAATTGTGCCATGGTAGAAGAATACAGGTAGTCGCATCGATACAGCTGCTGAGACAATGGCCTGTCTAACCAATTTTCGAAATGAAATTTTTAAAGGAAAAATTTTCTAACCTTTTGGCGGCGAAGGGTAAAACGTATGTAACTCAACTTATTTTGGAGAAACATTACAGAAATATTGAAAAGCGTTGATGCATCTACCTGTATTATTCTACCATCAATTGTGCTAAGCCTGCACCTAAAAGTACGTTTACATATTAAATCTTTAATAGGGTTAAACGTCAAAATTGGCCGATCAAAATAAATGTAGCGTATATCCCATGGTAGAAGAATACAGCTAGTCGCATCGACACAGCTGCTGGGATAATGAACTGTCAAACCGATTTTGAAATTGAAAATGTTGAATGAAAAATTGTTGATATTTGTAAAAATTGTTGAAAAATGTATTTATAGCAACCTCCGATTTGCGTCGTATAAGAAAACTTACACTACTTATTTTCGAAAAAAATATTCAAGATTGTTGACATATCAATATTCCCAAGCTTTGATGCACCCATGGTACGATAAAAAGGTAGAGTAGAGTTACCAGCTGATTAGAATTTTTTCTGAGTGTGCACGACTTCTGCCAATTTTGCGTATGTATTATTGTTTTGAAAAATGAAAACAAATTATTTTCAAAATCAATGATTGGAAGAGACTTAAATTGCGGGGCGCTCATTAATGATATTAACCAGATTTGCCACAGAATTGAAAAATTGAACACTTAGGATCATATATTTGAGAGAACATTCAGACATTTCATTCATCTTTCGCGATATTTGACTCAATTTAAAAATGAACAAAAAATATCAAATAAATGAAACCAACTTGTCGGGTATATTTTGAAAAATTCTGACAGGAAGCGGGCATAGCCTCAGGGCTGTATTTCTATAATTTTACGAAGTTGTTCTACCTCCTTATTGTACCATGGATGCACCTACCCATGGTACAATAAAAAGGTAAGGTAGAGCTAACAGCTGATTACAATCTATTTATAAGTGTGCAATAAAAAGTATAGCCATGAAATTGAAAGATTGAAAAATTAGGATCATATTATTGAGAGAAAAATCCAGACATTTTATTCATTTTTTGCGGTATTTAACTCATTTTAAAAATGAGGAAAAATATGAAAAAAATGAAAACAATAATTTTGAATGAGTCTGACAGGAAGCGGGCATAACCTCAGGGCTGTATTTTTGCAGCTTTACGAAGCTGTTCTACCTCCTTATTGTACCATGCATCTACCTATATTCTTCTACCATGGTATGTCCATAGCATGGCAGAAGAATACAGGTAGATGCATCAACGCGTGGGAGCATTGATATGTCAAAAAAATTGAAATGTTTTTTAAAATATAAGTAGATTTTTATATGTTTTCTTATTCTAAGTTAGAAGGAGGCTATTATAATTCGCGTTTTTCAAAAAATTTTCAAATTAAAATAAATTTTCATTCAACATTTTCAATTCCAAAATTGGTTGTCCCAGCAGCTGTGTCGACGCGACTACCTATATTCTTCTACCATGGTCCATAGTCAAATTTAGAGTACGTTTAGACTTCTTAATCCATTTCATTTCGTTAAATTATCAATTCCATGGCGTATACGTCATATGAATGGTATGAATGGTAAATATTTGACGTATACGCTATGGGATTGATACTTTAGTTCGTGTAAATTTTGTAATATATTCACTGAAAATTTATTTCTTAATTTTGGTAAATACGTAAACAAGTTTTTGCAGTAGATCTGTTTCAGAACTGCAAGAATGTAAAAGTTTTTACTACGATAACTGATTTTTACTTTATGACATCTAAAAAAAATAGTAAAAATAGAAGATTCTTGCAGGTTGTGGGACAGACCAATAGTTTCCAATATTAATTGATTTAAACCGCTAAGGCAATATGCAAATTTTTAAAAAGGTGTATGGAATAGAATTTTGTAAGCACATTTTTGGAATTTTCAAACTTTATCTTTAGCGTTTTTAACTCATTTCAAAATTTAAGAAAAACTATCAAATAAATGGAAACGATGTGTTTTGAAATTCAAAGAGAATCAATTCACAATAGCACAAGACTACTAAGTTAACTATCAAAGTAGTCTTCTTGGTCGATCTTAGCTAGGCCTTGATTACTATATTGCAGGTTCTGAAACACAAGTTGACTTGCTTTGCTGTGTTCGGAAACCCATTACGTGTACAATCTTACAAAATCGGATGCAATCAAGTTTCGAAAAACATGCTTAAATTTAAGGTATTTGGACAGTGATCAGCGTCAAGTGTTTAAATCTAAATCTAACCTTAATTGTAGTTTGGAGTGGATTCTTTTTCTATTCAAATTTGAAATGAGAAGTATTTCCTTTATAAAAAAATTTTCATTTGACATTTCTTTCCTTATATAAGTTTTCATTTCACATTTTCATAGAACAAGAATTGAAAACCTGCTTTATAACACCCTGGAGCGCCTTTCCATTATGTTGCAAGTAGTGCATTTATTTTTTGCATATTATGGCAACCTCTTTGCTGTGCAATAGAAAGAGACAGATAGTGAGCACCTTTTTTCTACTTAAATGACGAATTTGAATAGAACTCAACGTAATTTTTTAAAAACTTTGACAATCTGTGTACAATTTTCAAAAATACAACATATATAGGAAAATATTGAAACAATTAAAGAGATTCGAAAATATGTCGCGTGTGTGATTGTATTGAGTCGTATATTGTAGTTTTAAGTGTATTTTGTGCAAAAAGCTGTCGGGATTTGTCCAATTGGAATTGCAGACAATTTGGGTTTTTTGCATTATTATTGCGCGTTTTTATAAAAAAGGACTCTGTAGCAGTTAATAGGTAAGACAAATAATGTTTAAAAAAAACACATAATACTCCGTGATAATTCCAATCCAATAGATAATCAATCAATCCATTACGATTAAAGAACTAAAGAAGGCATGGTGAGCATCGTTACGCTGGGTATTGCTGAATAAAGGCGTTTGCTCCTACTAGATTCTTCGAGATTACCACTGCTCATACATGACGTTATCTTCTATAGAAGACGCTTATTAGAGGAACTGGTTTCGGGTAAGTATAAATTAGAATACTTTTATTAGAATCGGAACAACAAATATCTAACTCATGAAAAAAAAAAAAAAAATTAATCCAAGAGTTTCTACTAACCTAGTGTTAAGCCTTATAATTTTGTACCACAGCTAGAAATGCGTGATCATATGGTTATTGAAAGAAATTTCAAGTTATCTAGGTACACCTCTACTTTCGCAAAAACTCTGCATTTTTTCCAGAAGTAGGCATTTTTAGCCTGAATTCAGGAATTTCAGGAATTTGGGGACCGATTTGTACAACAATAAATATGATCTGAAAGTATGTTTTCAAAACCTGTTTTGCCGGACATACAACTCGGTTTTTGATCCGGACTAAAACCTACATAGTCCAATAAGGTCTACTATAATTTGTTTTTTTTTTGTGTAATCCATGTTTTCGAGTTTGTGATATTATTTTTGCCAGCGGATGTATACCCTCAGCTAATGCTCGATTATTTGAATATATTTTGAAGTATTCCATTTTCATGCTTCATCGAATACAGATAACAATATTGGTATGGGCAAAATTACAAGACAATCGAACATTTATATCCGATTTCTGGTTAAGAGAAATATTTAGATATAGCAAGTTGTAAAGAATCGCTGACTTGTTTAGAAAATTATGACAGATAAAAGTATTGAAATTTGTGACCCTTCATGGGTGAAGTAGCAGGAGAGGTTTTGCAGATATATATCATTTTGCTAACAGATCTTGTGTTAGCAAAAATATTTGGATTTCTGTAATTTGAAGAGAGTTGGATGCTTATTTCGCTTTCTATGAGCGTTTCGTTTTTCAAAATCTTGAACCCTGTGTGAGGGAGGTACCAAAAGGAACGAATCAATTTGTACCTTCTTTATAAGATAGCAATATTGAGATGTGCCAAATCTGAATGGAATCCATATTCATTCGATATAGAATGGATATTCAAAATTTTGACCCTTTCTGGAGATGAACCAAAAGGAGTGGGCCGATATATCCCATCTTCACACCAAAACTGGCGTTAATAAATAAAGAGAAGCAATAATCCGATTTTGCTCTTTGCAAATCCTAATATTTGCGTCCGTTCTAGTTCAGGTGTAAAAATGGATAATATCGGTCCACTCCATGAAGTGCCTCCATCACAAAGGGTCAAAATTTTTATTAATTATAACTCTTATAAAATGTGATGTAAGAGTCCGATTTTCGTAAAATTTCACACATATCAATATTTTTATCATCCCAAGGTCTGGTGTTAAGATGGAACATATCGGTCCACTCCATCTGGTACCTCCCCCCACAAAGTTTTTAATAATAAAACGCGAAATTAACATCCGATTGAATATTTCTATCAACAGAGGATCTGCTGTTATTAAGACATTACAGTTCGGACTATTCCTTCTGGTACCTCCCCCACAAAGGCTCAAATTTTTCATAGCCATGAAGCTCATGAAAAGAGAAATCAATATCCGATCCAATTCCAGACTTGGTACATCTTAATATTTCCATGAACGCAAGATTGTTATAAATATGGTACCAGAAGAACTAGGACCGATATTGCCCATATTCGAACTCGATCTAAGTTTGACAATAATATTACGAAGTACTAAGTTTGGATCAAATCTGATACTCCTTTCGAGAATTATCACCACTATCGCCGGCCATACAGACAGACGGACGGACATCGTAAGATCGAATCTAAATATCCTGAAACGGATTAAGTCCAAAGAGACCAAGGGTCTAAAACCGTCGTTTCGATGAGGCACGTTTCGGCGGTATCAAATGATATATACCCTCTAGCCATATGGCTGAAGGTATAAAAAGCCAAAATCTATCTATATATTTATAACCTACACCACAAGGTGGTCAGGGTATTATGTCTTTGTGCATTTGTTTGTAGCAGGAAAAAGGAAACGAGATAGACCCATAGTTCCTTTGATGATCAGCATAGAATCACATTCTGAATCGATTTATGCATGTCAGTCCGTCCGTCTGTCCGTCCGTCTGTCCGTCCCTCTGCCCGTCCGTCTGTCCATGTATTTTTGTAAAAAGTACAGGTCGAATTTATTGCCCGATCCAGATGAAATTTTGCACAGATCATTTGTTTGGCCCAAGGACGAACCCTATTGAAATTGGAGATAATCGGTCAAAATTTAGATATAGCTCCCATATATATCTTCATCCGATTTGCCTTTTATTGTACACCAAACGTGTAATATCTGCCCGAATTGTATAGAATTTTGCATATACAACCAAATTAGGCCTGAAAATAAATATGCCAAATTTGATCAAAATCGGTTCAGATATAGCTATAGCACCTATATATATTTTTTCATCCGAATTGTTATTTTGTCCTTCGCAGCCGTAATATGCACTCTGTAACAACAATATTTGGGGAAATATATCAAATACAGCTCAGAAATATATTTGCTAAATTTTATCGAGATCGGTTCAGATTTGGATATAGTTCCCATATATAACTTCGTCCGATTTACCTTTTATTGTGCGCCAAACTTCTAATATTTGTCTAAATGGGATGGAATTTGGCACTTACGACCGAATTGAGTCTAGAAGCTAGTATGTCAAATTTGGTGAAGATCGGTTCAGATATAACTATAGCTTCCATATATTGTTCATCCGATTTGTTATATTTGTTACCCACAACCGTAATATGCACTCCGTAACAACGATATTCAGGGAAATATACAAAATACAGCTCAGAAATATCTTTGCCAAATTTATCGAAATCGGTTCAGATTTGGATATAGCTCCTATATATATTTTTATTCGATTTTAAATTATTTGTGCACCAAATGGGCAACACAAGTCCGAATTTAAAAGATACACATGCTTCGGCATATTTAGTCCTTTGAACTTTAATCATAATAATAATCGTAGCGTGTATGATTGAATTCTCCAATTAAAACTTTTAATTGTTATGTGTAGCTCTACTAGATTATCAAAGTGGTGTAGGGTATCATAAGTCGGCCCCGCCCGACACTAAGACTTTCTTTACTTGTTATTTCTTAAAACCGATCTGAAATATTTTTTTTCTTTTTTATTGCAGCATACTTTCTTAGCATTCTCGTTCGATTGCCACAAACGAAATGGATATAAAAATTGAAGTGGATTTCTCTGACGATGTAAGTTAAAGAATTCCAAAGTAATGCAAACTGGATAAATATTTATCTCTATACAAACACTTTCAGGTCGTCCTAATCGCCGATGCTCCTTTCTTTATTGACTTGACTGGCTCAGATGATGAGGTAAATTATTTTGTATTTTCTTTATTATTACAATAAGGCATATAAAAATAAATTATTTACCAATTTATCTTTACAGAATGATGTCAATGGAAATATGAAAACAGGGCAAAACAACACAACTAAAATTGAGAAGTATCAAAACAATGGTATTCAAACCATTAGACCCCAAAGTGTCGTTGTATTTCCAACTCGGAACACTGATTGTATTAACTTAATGGCTTCACCGAGTGTTGAGAGATTTATCATGGGCGATAAAGAAGATACCACAAGCAACAGTAGAGCTGTAAGATCTGTAATACAATTCCCCACAAATCCCTTCGAAAGGACAACCACAACGCTTCCGGCCATTGAGGCACCCGTTACCAGGAAGAATACAAAAAAATCATTAAAAAAGCCACCATTTATGTATACCCGACCAAAGCATGAAGTATTGAGTGGATTTGTAAACTTTACATGGCGACATTTGCCGGCAAATGTAAATGCCATTTTGGGATTGGGTGATATGTTTGTACCGCCCAATATGCCTAAGTTCACAGAGTACATGAAGGAACTACACATTAATGAAGAAAATCTGGCCATCGAACCTTCAATGTACTATGGGGAATATTTGATGTTAAGCTATGATAAAATACTTAAGTCATTGTATGAACAAAACTCAGCTAACGCCGCACGTTTGATCAATGCCTTGGAGGACACTCGTAGAATTGTTGGGAACCAGAATTACAGATTTGTTGAAAGTCTAAACAACAAATGTACAATATTAATGGAAGCCCATGAATACAATCGGGATATGGATTGTGTCATACAAAATGCTGTACAAAATAATATTTATGTCGAAATGCGGAATACCAGATATCTCAAGCGCTGGATAAAACTTTGCCACAAAAAATATCAACGTCTCCAGCGAGATTTTTTGCACAATCGACAAATGGCTAAAGCCATGGGACGTCCACAGCCCTATAGCGATAATATTCAGAGACTTATTAATGAGTACAACACCGGTCGCCGAAATGTTCCTTGTTTATATGGCCAGCTGAAAATTGATGGCGAACAGAGAAATTTATGCGCCATAGCCAACACCTTAGGCTGGTATAGTTATCCATTGGAACAGATTATTTGTCATGTCCTTAAACGAGTCCTTGAGCCTTTTCTAAAGAAGTTCTATGTTAAGGATATTACCCGAACGGCATCTGATATACGTAATACACCAGTGCAAGATAATTATAGTTTTGTGAAAGTCGAAATTGAGGATATCTATTGTAACGTGAAACAAGATGATATTTTATATTTACTCGAGAAATTAGTGCAAACGGAAATTTTTCGACAAACCAGTTCCATAGATCCAATTGTTTTCATGCAAATGATGAAATTTCGTTTCCAATACTTACAAATTTTTGAATATCGTGGCAAGACATATCAACAAGTAAAAGGTTTGTTGCGTGGTTCCACTGATGCACCGGTTTTAATTCAATTACTTCTATGCTATCTACTGAGCCAACATGAGTATGAAATTTGCCGCTTTCCCGCCTACTCCCGGGTCTATATGCACGAAAATGAGCTGCTGTTTTATGTATGCGATACGGATATAAATAGTTTTCTAATGAATTTGGAAAATTATTTAAATCTTCGTTTTAAAGTTAAAACAGAACTCAAATACTATGATTACGAAGAAAATGATCAGTTGGTCATAGCTGGTCGCATATCATTTTTGGACATTGCCATACATCGTACTGAATCGAAATTCCTCACCAAATTGCATGATCCACACATCCAGGATTATGATGGCGATGTTCGTTACTCCGTACGCCATTTACCACGCAATTGGAAAAATAATGTTCTTCAGGGTCATTTGCGGCGCATTTTAGAACGTACAAGTAATAAATATCTATTGGACGATCTCTATCATTTGGAACTAAATATTCGTGACTTCTCTTTTCCCCATGTTCTACGCTTTATTATCGAACATTATTTGAAAATCTATGATCGTATAATGTCTCAAGGGCCGCAATATGAAAACAATCCCATGTGCAATTTTGAAAATATGCAAGAACGCATATGGATTATGCGTAAATGTCTTTATGATACAAATAATAAATATCCCGGGCATGGTGTCAGAAATACTGGGAAACGGCGTTGTGATACAGATAACAATGACGAGTATCAATCGCAGGCGAAAAGAGGAAGATTTGAAGAATTCGTAAAATAGGTAAGAGAATATGTATTTTCTTTCATGTTAGATGTGCAACAATTTGTATGAATTGTCACTGGCTGTTGTTCAGCTATTTAATAGTCTCTTAAGGTTGAGTGAGTTGTGAAATAGTTGGGAAATTCTTACTGGGAAAATTTTCTAGCACCATCATTTTTTTGAAAATCAAATGTTTTGTGATTAAAGTAAAAAAATGTTAACGATTTCAGTAAATAATTTAATATTTTGATTATTTTTTCGACAATAAGAATTCAGCTGCATATCTTACATTTCACTACAAAATTACAATTTTTCTTGCCTTTTTTCTGAATTATGCACAGTGTCTTATGAACTACCAGAATATTCTACCTAAGATGCATATTCATTATGTCGTTTCTTTCAAAATATTGGTTGAATATCCCATAAAATACATATATTCATGAAATTCTACGTCAATTTAACAAGATCTGTCTGTCTATTATATTACGATATAGATGATTGTAGTACCCCTAAGATGTTTGATATTGAAAATGGGCTCCACCGATCCAGTTTTATGTTTCGCCCGCATATATCAGTATCTCCAACCAACTCAGATATAATTTGATGCTTTGAGTTCTTTCTGTTCAAAAATAATCAATGTAGGTTCACTTTTTGACATAGCCTATCTGGATCTTCGATATTTTGAAGGTTTTGGTCCAAATGTCTCTTCCACCCTTCTCTGGAGTGTATATTTACTTTGCCATTCCGTTTGTAACTGCTTGAAATACTCAGGTTAGACCCATCAAAGTATATATATATTCTTGAATTGCTTTTAACCTGATTTAGCGATGTCCGTCTGATTTTTATACCCTACACCGTGGTAAGTGTGTTAGACCCTGATAGACCCATAGTTACTTTTGAGGATCTTCATAGAATCACTTTCTGAGTCGATTTATGCATGTCAGTCCGTCTTCCTCCGTCCGTCCGTCCATTTATTCTTGTGAACAAAATACAGGTCGCATTTATTATTCGGTTGAGATGATATTTTCTAAACAATATTTGTTTGGCCCAAGGACGAACCCTATTGAAATCGATGATAATCGGATCAGATTTAGATATAGCTTCCATAGATTTCGGGTTAGTTGTACACCAAATGTCCAATATAAGTCCAAATTATCTGAATTTTGGTACATCCCACCGATTTCAGTCTAGAAGCAAGCACATAAAATTAAAAGAAAGTCGGTAGCTCCCATATATATATATCATCCGATTTGGGGTATTAAGCCCCTCACATGCGTAATATGAAGAATGATATTTGGTAGCGGAGACCAGATATTGCTCGAAAATACCTCTATCAAATTTTATCGAGATCGGTTCAGATATATATCTTTATCCGATATCCGGTTTATTGTGCACCAAATGGCTAATATTAACCCAAATGCACCGAATTTTCGCAATTACGACTGAATTCATCCTAGCAACCCGTACTTGGTTGTAAATCGATTCAAATATAGCTATAGCTATGTTTTATCCGATTTGGGGTTTATTGATTGATAAAATTTTACTCAGATGTATATTATCTCTACAGAAATTTTGGTATTGAAAATGGGTCATGTAGGTCCAGTCCATGTCTTTGTATAGCCCCCATATAACGGTACCTCCCGATATTCCCGAATATTGTAATGGTTAATGACATAAGTTACCATGCCGTCGTATAGACCCTAATATAACTTCTACATTCGTTACATTTAAGATTTTAAAAGAACTTTTAACGGATTTTATGTTTTTGAAAATTGCCAAATTCGTTCCAAAGTTCGGCCCGGCCGAACTTATAGCTTTTTTACTTGTTTTAACACAATCTTTCTCGAAATGATATCATGCACTCTATAACAATTTTATTTAGTGAAAATCGAATTGGATATGCCTCCCCATATCTTAGTTCCGTCTGAAACCAAACTATAACTGCTCTAAAATCAAATGTTGATAGGTGACATGATCTACTTCAAATAAATAATTTTGTTACGCGAGCTCTACTAAATATGTACAGTGGTGTAGGGTATCATATTGTCAACTATCAAAATGAGTTTATGAGTCAGTCGTCGTTGAGCATTGACCGAGAGCGGACGCATCTAAGGAGCGTAGAGCATATTACATTTTAAACTTTGTATTATTCCCAGAATTACTTTTATTTTTAAATAAAAACCATCTTGACAGAATCAGAAGTGGGATAAGAACGGAAATCTACAAGGAATTTCATCATTTTGGATAAGAATTGCAGAAAAATACTCAAAGAGCTGAGAAACTAAGGCGTCAAAGTGATGTAGTAGTGAAGAGCTCAATGCAAAGCAACAACGACGACCAAAGGAGAAACCACGCAAAGGCACCTAAACTCAAAAGTTCGAGTGAGTTTAGTGAGAGTGTGTAACGTGCTCAAAGAGAGCAAAGAAGAAAGCATCAATCAAAGGAGAATGTACAAAGGTATACTCAAAAGTGTGAGTGAGTAGGACAACGATAGTACATCAAGGAGATTGAAAGCAAGACATAAAGAGGGGAACCTCGAAGAAGAAGTTTAAAAGGGAAAAGTTAACGTATATTTTTAGGGCGTGCGGCTTCTAAAAAAAAAGGAATAGTTCTAGATTTGCTGAAGTAACGAATTAAAAAGGAAAATTCACAAGGAAAAGTATGAAGGTGAAAATAAGTTCGTTAAAGGTTGCGGAGCTAGACAAATTATTACTGGCAAGAAGCTTACCACGAACAGGAAATAAGTCCGAGAAAATTGCTAGACTCATGGCTTGCAATGGAAATGACGAAGTGGAAGTTGAAGATTCAGAGTCACAGGAGGATTTCCATGGATTTGATGAAGCTGAGACGGGTGATGATTCTCTAACAAGTCAAATGCGAGAGCTAAAGGATATAATGTTGACTCTAGCAAGAAGTGTGCAACAGTTAACAACACTTTCAACAGAAAGGGCTATTACGTCAAATGCAGGGTTAAATTCAAGGGATACAGAACAGCAAGTTCCAGCTGAAGTAATATCAAGACAATCTGGTTCCGGAACATCTGGTTGTTTAAAGGATTACATAGTAATGATACCAGACTTCGATCCAATTAAAGGAAATGTTACATCAGTCCCAATTCATTGACAAGGTTGAAACGTTGCAAAGGCTTCATGGATGGTCAGATGAAACAACTTTGTTTGCAGTTCATCATAAAATGAGTGGTGTTGCTAAAATGTGGATAGATGCTTTACCAGTGGTTGAAACATGGAAAGAGTTCAGACAACAATTTTTAAAGGATTTCCCAAGTCGAGTAAGTGTTGCTGACATTCATCGTGAACTTATAGCTAGGAAACGAAACTCGAATGAGTCTTTGGTGGAATATTATTACGCAATGTTGGCCATAGGGAAAAGAGGAAGCGTAGATGAGGCATCAATACTGTCGTACATCATAAATGGTCTCAATGATAGCAGCTTAACAAGAACACTTTTAGCTATGAACCCGCAGACATGTAGTGAATTATTAAGGTCGTTGGAGAATTTGACCATACAAACGTATGCAAGGAAGCAAACAAAGAATGACGAGGATGACAAAACCGCAAGTGTCTCAGGTGGAGCGCCAACCAAGGGAGTAAAATGTTTCAATTGTAACAGGTTTGGGCACATCTCAACTAGTTGCCCACAACCATTGAAGAAGCCGAAGTGTAGTAAATGTGCAAAGATTGGTCACGATGCATCGCAATGCAAAGGTAAAGGTACAACTGTGGCAGCAATGACAGAAGAGTCTAAGGATTACTGCCCACCGGTTATGAAAGATGTTACGGTCAATGGTAAGACATATGAAGGTTTTGTGGACACTGGAAGCGACTTTACCTTAATGCGGAAAGCTGTAGTTCCAGAGGGTTGCGATATGGAAGTAACGTCAAAAAGAATGAAAGGTTTTGGTGGATCTATTGTTGAAGTGGTGGAAAATGTTCTGGCACTCACAACGAACATTAACGACTGGGTCTATCAACTGCAAATGTCGGATAAGAAGCTGAAACACATCTTTGAAGTTCTCAATGGTAATTTGCAAAACGAGGCAAATGAAATTAAGCAGATCAAAGCGGACTATGTAATAGAAAATGGGAGGCTATTTCGCAAAGTCAACAATATGAAACGTATGGTGATTCCAGAAAGAGTCCGGTGGCGAATAACTAAGGCTTGTCATGATGATTTGGGACACTTCGGTGAAGAGAAAACTCTCCAAAGGCTTCAACGTGATTTCTGGTTCCCGAGAATGAGACGTTATGTAAAATCATACATTCAGTCATGTCCGGAATGCTGCTACAACAAGGTAAAAGGAGGCAAGGCAGAGGGTGAACTACATATTGAGGAAGTCCTACCAATTCCATTCAGAAGTATCAACATCGACCACATGGGTCCCTTCCCAAAAAGTAAGAAAGGAAATCAATATGTATTCTTGATTGTCTGTTCGTTCAGTAAGTACACCATTATAAAGCCAACCAGGAATACAAAGACTGCTCCGGTTATAACAGCGCTGCGAGAAGTTATGTCGATTTTCGGACAGCCACGAAGAATTGTATCGGATAAGGGAACGGCGTTCACGTCTAAAGAATTCCAACAGTTTGTGGAATACAACGGAATACAACATGTACAAACAGCAGTCCGAACACCAAGAGCCAATGGCCAAGCCGAGCGGATCAACCAGACAGTTTTGAATGCGTTGAAATGTCTAGTAGGTGATACAAAAGAATGGGACACTGAGACAACGACGATACAGTGGAGTATTAACTCGCAGCTGAATGCGACTACAAAGTTCAGTCCAAATGACTTAATATTCAACTTTAGTCTCAGAGATGTCAGTTACAATAGAATTATCCAGGCGGTTGGTGATGAAGAAAGAGAGAATTTCGATGTTAGGGTAATTCAACAGCAGGCTGTTGCTAACATCCAGAAACAAAAGGAAAAATGGAAAGCAAGATTTGACAGCCGTCATTCCAAGCCAACTCAGTACAAGGAAGGCGATTTGGTGGTGATAGACACGGTACCGCAGCCTACAGGAGAATCGCATAAGTTGGATGCGCGGTATAAAGGACCATACATCGTCACGAAAATTATCGGAAACGATCGTTATCTGGTAGAGGATCTGCCGGATTTAAGTTTGAAGCAAAGGAAATATTGCGGTGTTATGTCGACCGATCATATGAAGCCCTGGTGCTATGGTGATCCAAGTCTCGAAATCGAAGATAAAGATGAGTCTGATGATGGTTCGCCCAGGAGGGACGAAGAGTCAGGAGAGGCCGAATTGTCAACTATCAAAATGAGTTTATGAGTCAGTCGTCGTTGAGCATTGACCGAGAGCGGACGCATCTAAGGAGCGTAGAGCATATTACATTTTAAACTTTGTATTTATTCCCAGAATTACTTTTATTTTTAAATAAAAACCATCTTGACAATATAGTGTAGCCCGACTTTTGCTTACAGGTTATTATTGCAAATGTTGGATAATTTTCTTTAATCTCTTCATATTTTTAATTCTGAGCCATTAGTATTTTAACTATGTTTTTTATTTTCCTCGATGATTTTTTTTCCTCTTTTTCTATAAGCCATTTTAAAGCCATTCTTCTTTTTTAATTTTATTTTATTTATCATTTCAGTAAAGTATTCATCAGTCCGTGGGGAGTAATTCCTTAGTCTACGCTCACAGACATTCCTAAGAAATATGTACATTCAGTTTTGTTATTTAGTTCACCAGTTTTTTTTTAAATGTGAAATTTGATCATTTTTGTTTTTTTGTTTTTATATTAAAATTAGTGTCGACCACTAAATTGCTGTATTTTAGTAAATACAATTCTAGTATTTAAGTACAAGTCTGTTTACTTCAAGAATAAATTATTAACTCAAGCATAATTTTTTTCACGATATATTAAAATCCATTTCGTAATCTTTGCTGATTGTTTGATTCGTGTTAATTTTAAGTAAAGTTACGTAACAATAAGTTTATGTATGTTTTTTAGTGTATTTTGTAAACTTCATATATGGGGACAATATTTGTTTTTCATATGTGTTTATTATTAAAACAAGTCCTCGAAAATTACAAAAATATAAATTTCTATATTTTTTGTTTACGTATTTGTTCCGGAAACTCAAGTCAAATTGACCGACTTGATAATTTCCTATGTTCCTAGATATTTTTTGTATTGTTTTAGTGCTTTCTTTAATTTAAACTATTAATAAAAAATAAATATGAATGAAGTTATCTAAAATTGCTAATGCCTTTTGGATTTGTCGTAGGTGACATGGGGTCAAAATTAAAAATGTGGACATCACTTGTGGTAATCACTTAGTGAAATAAATTCATCGATCCCACACAGTAACCTATTTTAAGCGCTACCTACCGGTTTTCAGTACTGAAATTCAAAGGGATACAATATCTTTGGACCAACTTATTTTTTCCGATCGAAGTGATTGGGCAAGGGTCCCCATAGCGTTTTTGAAGTACATTTGTTACAGTATTCAGGGTATCCTCCACTTTCCGGCTTTTACGGTTATATAACTGAAACATCCAAAAAAAAAAAAAAAATATTGAAATAAAAAAATCAGGGGTGGACATCTTAATAGCTCTAGGTGATGTTTCAAAAAATAAAAAATAACCGGAGTTCAGACCCAAAGGATCCACAATCTAGAGAAGGAATACAGGTGAGATAAAAAAACTGCAACGAAGTCAAACGCCAAAATTTGTAAATATTTTTTATTTATTTATTTATTTATTTTTTGAATGAAAGCAAAAAATTTCGGAAATGTCATCAAATTTTAGAATAAGTTTAGATTTGTTCGAATTGGTCACCTTTGGCGCGAATGATGACCTTCAAACGGCCAATGATCGACACTTTGGTATTTTTAGTGCTAACATTGCTTTTCAAAATATTCCAGAAACAATAGTCCACGGATGTGTATTCGGAGATTTTGGTG